ATGTAAATATTCTATACATTAATATGTTTATCAATGCTGTGTGTAACTGCTACCATTTATTGAATATTTGCCATGTGCTGTACATTATGCTAAACACTTTGGTTTTGTTTTACTAATCCCATTTAATCCTCACAAGAACATTAAAAAGTAAATATTATTCACTTTATTTTACAGATATTATAAATGAGGCTTAGAAAGATTAAAAAGCCAGTCAGCCTTAGGTCATCCAGCTGTGCCAGATCCCGTGACTTTCAGATCACCTTTTTAAAAATGTTCACTTTTCCTCTGTTGTGCACAGAACAGTTTAAGAATGTTTGAAAAAAGGAAAGCATGGAATGAAAAAAAGCATTAGCTTAATAGTTCACAAATTTAATGATATTATAGAACAGCAAGACTTGTCCATTGCAATAGCAGGCTATTCTGAAAAAGTCTTTCCATTGGAAACTCCTGCTAAGCAGAATGCCCTCATGTATCACGTGGCTTCTCTGCAGCAGAGTGATGATAGGTCAATAATTTTACGCCGGTAATTTTGGAAGAAGAAGCAGAGTGACTGCATGTTTGTTAGAGCCCTCCAGCCTGTCTCTCTGTCCTGCATAAGTCCTGGGACCTGGCGCCACACACTCAGCCTCTCCCTGCACTTGAGGGTCCGTCTGGCATCAGGCAGGAGGAAGGGGGCTATGGAGCCCTGCATTCTAAGACTCAGCATCCAAGCAGGCTTTATGCTGGTCAGGCTGTGACCTGTGTTCTATGTCTGATAACTGAGGGGTCTATCTCTTTCCCCAAACCCCAGGCTTCTATTCTGGTGTCTGGATCCCGTCTTGCTTCTCCTACCTGAATCCTGGCTTAAGTAACCTGCCAGTTGGCCTAGTATTTCACAACTATGACTTCATGAGTTGATGCAAACTCTAGTTCCCCTGGGCTGGATCTGAAGCCTGGACCAGGGGGTGCATGCCCTGTGACACATAGACAGAGTCCTCTGGGCAGCCGCCTTGCTGGACATGTGTTTTATCTGCTGCTAATAATCTCTGTGTTCAACCACTTTGTCAGGATACCCTCAGCCCAGGACTACACCTGTAATGCAGCCATTTAGCCTGATTACCGCCTCGTTTTTTCTTCCAGGCCAGACTTATTCCTGGTACTGAGAACTTCTCTCTGTCTGTTTTCCCTGCCCACACCTAACCTAGTTAGTATGCCTAGCCTTGCCTGGCAAAAGGCCTCAACCACCTTTCTTTCAAATGAAATCTAGTTCTCATCTCATATATGAGACTCTAAACTGAGGCATTGACTAGAAAGGGCAGAAAAGGAGCAAGCCATGGCTAGGGGGCAGCAGACAAAGAGAAGGAGTGAGGAAGGGTGGCCTAGGCACCCAGGCCCTGGCCTGGCAGGGTGCATCTCTGACTTTGAGGGGATAAGTTCCAGGAAGAGCAAAGTTGAAACTCACCAGCTTGAATAGCAGGGTCCCTCTGATCTGATCTGATTCCTGCAGTATCTCCAGACACTGTGGCCACACTGCCAAATGTACACCATGAGACAGCCATGAAAAGTTGTTTGGAATTCCCCAGGACTACCAGGCTCTCTCTGTGTCCTCTGAGCCTCAGCTCATGTGTCCTAACTCTTTTGCGGAGTTTGGTTCCCATCCTTTATCCTCTCCTCAAACTCAAGTGGGGAACTTCCTACTGTCACCTCTGTAACTCCGGATCCTGGCAGTCATATGTGCCCAGGAAATACTGAATGAACACTTTAATTCAGCTGAATGAGTGCTTTAATTAATTCAACTGCCATGCCTCTAAAATCCTAAACATAAAGCCCCAACCTGCCTTCTGAAAAATGCTCATCCAATTGACAAAACACTGGCCTGTGAATCAGTAAACAGGATTTTTGTTTTGGTTTTTGTCTCATCCAATTGGGAACAGAGAACCAAAAGGAAACCTTTGCTGAGCCTTGGCTGTGGACACTCTGCTTAGAGCAGGCAACACAGAGAGAAGCCAGACAGGGCCATGGTCTGAGATGAATAACCCTTCGTTCTTCTCGTTTGAGTACAGTTTTGATAATAAAGTTCTACTGTACACTTAATTGGATTCTTTCTTGCCGTGATTTAAACAGTTCTCTTATTTGCTGAGTAGAATTATACCTCATTATCTCTGAAGCTTGTAGGGCAGCTTTTCCTAACAGGGCCTGGAGCTGACTCTTAGGGCTGCGCTGCCTTCTCACCTTTGTCATCCTGTGTTTGTGTCTTCCTGGATTTTCAGTTTGTGCGTTTGCTTTAATGAGTGAGTACATCCTATTCTCCTTTGCTGTTTGAGAAAACAATTTACATCTTTACATATATTGTCAAAAAGTAATGGGTTCTTTTTTTTTCTTAAACTCTAATGCTTCCTTCCTTTCTCCTCTCAAATACTGAATCTCCGATCCTTTGAGGTCCAACATAATTTTTGTGTTAATTCCTTTCTAAGCTCTTTTCAAGCAACTGCACTTGCCGTGCAGACTTCATTAAACCTCATAGTCTCCTCACACTGATGTCTCAGAAAAAGCAAAGGAACTCTTGCTGTATATTAAAATATTTTCTACAAGAGTGGTATCTTCTGTCACCATTTCTGGACATTTATTTATTTAGCCTTCAGAAAGAACACAGACGTCTGTTACAACTAAAGAGAATGCAACCACTGGTTTCTCTTCTCATTTGTGGGAAACATCTGCTGATTATAATTCACAGGGCTCTCATTTCAGGGTTTGCAGTCCTGAGTGGTTTCAGCCTTAAATCATCCCGTGTTGGCAAATAATAGTGAGGGCCAGGCCAGGAAAGAAACAGATGAAGCCTATGTACGGAATGAGATTAAATAAAAGCACAAGCATGCCAATATTCCCATTGCCAATATTTCTTTTCCTAATGTGGTCACCTTGGAGGCCAATATGTTATTTTAATGATGATGATGTTGAAAACCATTCTGTTCTGGAACTTTTCCTTTAGAATTAGCATCTGGATCAGGACCCATCTTGATTTTTTTAAGGGTAAAGTAAATTTTAAGAAGTAGTGGCTAGTATTAGGTGAATAATCAGGTTGGGTCATTCTAGATGGAAACTTTGAAATGTCACATTTAATATGTGTTTAAATACCAAGACAAAGACCTGGGCCCTCATTATGACTCTGTCATTTGTTTGATTTGGAATGTTAGAAGTTTTATTTAAGTGCTTTAGGCCTTACTTTCTTTTCTGTAAAATGGAAATAATACTTGTGAAACTTTCTGACAATTGAGAGAATAAGCAGAGTCATCCCTGCCACTTGTAAACCTTTATGTGTTTTGTATGTCAGTTTGTTCCGAGCACCATCAGCATGGAATCCCGGAGTCTTGGAATGCTAGCACTCTAAGAGATAATCCGGTCAAACAGTCCCATAATGCAGATGAAGAAACTGAGAGCCATAGCTGTAGAGGAAGTACCTAGAATGCCAGGGTGACTACTTTGAAAGAAAATGCTTATTTGACATTTATATTTAGGGTTCTTTTTAAAAAAACAACCAAAACACCCTCCTTTTACTGAAGTCAGGCTAGTACACTGTCAACTTCAATGCAGTTTTTAATAAATGGGACAGCAGTCCTCTTGGGGTTATAGATCAGAATCACACTGTTTATTCTTTTCAGCCCAGAGGAGGAGTGGAAATGTCCAAAGTAGCTGTCAGGTTCTGTAAACCTTTTTCCAGAAAAGAAACCTTTTTCTAGACCTTCTGTATCCTATGGCGCTTCTTAGTAAACAAAGGGTGTGGTTATCCTTTCATCTGCTTCTGGGCTCCTTCAGCCTTTCAGCACAGTTAAGCAAAGAGTGAGGCCATGCAGAGGCCTGAGCCACAAGCTTACAGGAGAACCAAAAGGGGCCTGCGGGAGGCTCAGCTGGCAGGAAGGAAGAATGGAAGTGACGACGTAAGATGAGGGAGAAAAATATAGGAGAGGATGAGACAAGAAGGAAGTTTCATTCTTGCAGGGAAGAGGAGAGCACCATGATCTCTCCTGGCCTGTCTACCTGGGAACATTTGCACGCCACCCGTGAGACTGTTTTTTGCCAATGGGAAAACCCTCATAAGCGGGATCCCCTTGTAGCTACTCAGAACAGTACTTTCATAGTCCCTGCTGTTAGAAAGATCTCACTTATTAGTTTCTATGTCACCTTTGAAATCACTTGTTTCATTATCAGATTTTTTAAAAGTCAATGTTTATGCTGGAAAACTCATTCATTTTGCACACTTTCTATTTTCGTGTGTGTGTGTGTGTGTGTGTGTGTGTGTGTGTGTGTTTTAATACAGGGCATAAAGATTTCAAAAGGGTAGGTCAATTATTTGTTGACTAAATTATAGGAAGAAAGTGCAATTATCCAATAGAATCCAGAAATGAACATAGCTAATTTTATACCTGCATGTAGCGAACCCAGCCATAATAATTGTAATCACTTTGTTTTGCTTTTTTTTTTTTTTTTTTTTTAAATTCCGGGGGAAATAGGTTAGGTGGGACCTGAATACATCATTATAAAGTATGCACATATAAATTGAACTTTTCTAAATCTAGGTCGCTTGGGTAAGAAGGCTCGTTTGATGAAACCACGTTGACAATTAGATTCCCAGGGCACTTCAATGTTAAATGATATTCTTCCCATATTCTGGGTCATAAGGCAGTATAAACAATACACCAACGTTAAGAAAGAGAAAATTGCATTTGCAGTAATAGCGAAGCTTCATGGTGCATAGTTTTTACACCTTAATATGCTGTGCTCTTTCTGCCATGTTAATATTTTAAGTAATATAATTTCCTTTTCATGTGGCTTAAGGTTCATCTTTTCCTTTTTTTTCTCTTAACCCTTCTGGTATAGCTTTCTATAATACTGTATCTTATGCCAGGAGAAATTCCTGAAAAATAGAAAGCATATAATCAAATCGTCCTCACAGGAAAATGGCAAATACAACAGCAGAAATGGATTTAATCTCTAGTCAAAATGTTATCTTGTATACTTTACAGACTCAATCTGTGTCCCAGGCTTTGATCCAAGCCTCAACATGATGACTGGAATCACCCCCATTAACCCAATGATACCAGGCCTTGGACTGGTACCTCCCCCACCACCAACAGAAGTGGCTGTTGTCAAAGAAATAATCCACTGCAAAAGCTGTACTCTTTTTCCTCAAAATCCAAGTAAGTAACACCTATGAGAAATATTTGCTCATCATTTAAAATTTTTTTCCTTTTAAATTTAAGAATGGCATTGCAGTCATTTTCAGATGCTCCTCACACGTAAATGCACAGAATGGGGATCCATTCCACAGAAGGCCTTTGTCTCTCGATTAGAATACATATACAGGGATGTGGCCACGTATCTGTCCAGAAGCTGAATCCACACTATAAAGCCAGTACGTGGGATCTGGGGATGTGTATCCGGTGTTAAGACTTTTTGCATGCAGTGAAGTCTAGTGTTTGCTAGAGAACACAGTGTGAAACATGTGAACACTTCCATCCATCTTCACAAATGTGGGAGAAAACCTCTGAAATGTGTTTTGCTAGATGGAAAATTGAATTAATTTGACAGTTAGCAATTTAGGGGCTGGGGAGAGGGAAGCCTGCATCTCAGAGTTTCTGGACCAAATTGCATTTGCTTGAAGGAAACATACATTTGATGAAGTAAATGGGCCAGAATTTTATTTTTTAATTTTGCCTCAGATACTAAGCTTATGGGCTTAAAAAGCTAGGACTTTTTTTTTTTTTTTTCTTCACGTTAATCAGTGTTGCCTTTTTGAAGTGGACTTTTCAGGAGATTGCTTTAGTAATCTACATATAAACTAGGTAAAATGTTGTAAGAGTGTACATTTTATCTTTTTATACAGCCTCCCCAAAATTTAATAGTTTGCTCATTTAAATGTGAATAATAACAAAGTGTTTTTTTCAGGCCCGGTGTTTCACAGCCGAGTAGGTATTGTGCGTGCTTTTTTAGGTTATGCTTGCTGTATTCTGCTTTGCTGCTCCTTTATCTGGAAATGAGACAAAGCAGATAACACGCTGAGGTTTTTCATCATGTTGTCATTTCATCATGTTTTGTACTTTGGGAAGTTTTTTCCCTCCCTTTTCTGGGCTTCTGTAGTATAAAGGAGAAATGAAATTATGCAGACATTTGCTTTATCTTTGTTTATGGACAAGCATATAGCCACTCTGTGTAGCAATGAACACAGAAAGTAGAGGTTGGGAGCAGGAGGGGAGAGGGACTTAGAAACAAGACAGCCCGGGATAAATGTAAATTGGTATAGAAATTTACCGTCAGTCAGTCTGGAGGAAGTTACTCTGCAGGCTTTCGTTTTGCCGGGAGAACCAGAAAGAGAGAGCAAATGAATGAAAGACAAAACTCTGTTTTGTTGTGATTATTAGATCTTCCACCTCCTTCCACAAGAGAACGACCTCCTGGGTGTAAGACTGTATTTGTCGGAGGATTACCAGAAAATGCTACTGAAGAAATTATTCAAGAAGTCTTTGAACAGTGCGGTGATATTACAGCAATTCGGAAAAGCAAGAAGAATTTTTGTCACATTCGCTTTGCAGAGGAATTCATGGTTGATAAAGCCATTTACCTTTCCGGTACTTTGCATTACATAAGGAGTTTTCTAGGCATTTTGTTATGTTTTGTGATGTTAATATGAGCTTATTCCCTTTGGCCTTAATGCAAAATAAAGTCCTCATAGTCTGGGGCTAGAAAAGGAAGAATCCTGCCTTCTTGGCTGCCAGAAGCTCTGTGCTAAATCTGTGAAGGTACCTCAGTGCAAGAGTAATTTCCCACCAACCAGTCTTTAGGAATTCCATCGAGTTTCTAATTAATCTTCTCAAGTGCTTATTAGATGAAAAGCAATATTATGAGTACTAAGGATCATTATTATTGTTGGATGTAATCCTCTGGGGGAGTAAAGTACTCTCTCAGAATGATTTCAGGTTTTTGGAAATGGATTCACTTTCTAGACACCAGGTTACCAAAGCAAGGTCAGTTCCTTGCAGGAAAGTAGCTCGGGGGCCCTCGGGGAAGGCCCGGTATCATTGCCTCTTTGGTGGTTCATTAAGCCTTGTCCTTTGGTGCCAATTTTTATAGGTGATTTTTGCAGATACTGAAATTAAGCCTAGTGCTGCCTTCCCCATCTGTGGGTGCTGGGCCAAGTGAATGGAGTCTGTCCACAAGGCCTTTCCAAATCTAAGAATTAGAGGGTGGCTTTGGAAGGACATATTCTTAGACTGAACTAACTGCCCTTCCCTCACACTCCCTACCCCCATATTTCAGTCTGTCCCTCTGCATTTCACCTCCCTATTCCTGAGGCAAAACTAATGGGCGAAGGTGGGAAAACAAATAGCGGGGAACCTATCTGAACATTCCTGCCAGGTTTTCCTTAATTTCTGCAGTCTGCCTCTATTGCAACAAAATTCTGTGCAAACTCCAGAAGCCTTGAGGGTATAGTACTGCAGAGACTTTCCTGAGATAGACAGTGATATGGAGAACTTGAAAACTCCTTATTTCAGTAAAACCTTACAAAGTAGAAAATAAAAACTAAAAGCATTTCAAAATGGAGAAGGAAGACAAAGCATAGAATGAAGACATTTTATAACACACAATCCGCTGTTAGACAACGGGGGTTCTGGTGATTTTGTGGTGCTGGGTTTCATGGCCTAGAGCTTTCATTTTCTCATCTGCAAAATAAAGATAGTAACAGTATGACCTTGTAGGATTGTGAGGAGAAATAAATCAAATAATGGATATTAAGTGCTTAGCAGGGCACCTGCAACATAGAAATCATTTAGGAAATGGTTGTTTTTAACACTAATATCCTGATCATGATAAAGAAGGATTGATTTTTGTATCTCAAGAACCCTGTCTCGGGGACCTGGGTTCTAATCACTACTGCACCAATAAAACTGTGGTCTTTCCTCAGTACACTCAGGGGATTGGTTCCAGGACCCCCACCCCCATCCCATGTATATCCTGCAGGACCCTCATGTATATGAAAAGTCAGCCCTCCATGTATGCGGGTTTCACGTCCCTCAAATACTGTATTTTAGATGCATGTTTGGTTGGAAAAAAATCCTCCCACAAGCGGACCTGCACAGATTAAGCCCATGTTGTTCATAGGTCAACTGTATTCTTTACCCCACTTGATTAAATGAGAAGGTTAGAGTAAATCAAAGGTTGTTTTCAACACTAATACAACACAATGTTCAGACCCAATCAGAAGCCTCATAAGACACTGACAAAGATGCACAGTCCCAAATTTATGCATATGAAAAGTACTCCTTGATTATACCTTGATCGCATGATTTTCTAGCCTGGGCGCTGGTCCCACTTCTTTCAGCAAACCCCAGATTGCTGCTTGGTCTGCCCCATTACTGTGGGAGAAGAAGACAGCTAGGCCTCCAGCCTCCCTGCCTGGGTACAGAGGAGCCTCCTAACTCTGCCTCCCTGCCCTTGAGAGGCTGCAGCATCAGTCCCAGGAAGATCTGCAAGGCCAATTAACTAGAAAGGCAGGAAGGAAGTCAGGCGGCCCCTCCTGTGTGTAGGCTCCAGCAAGCCCAAGCCCAGCTGGAAGGCCTGTCTAATTTTAGGACCACATTCACATTTCAAGGCCTAGCTAATTTTAGACTCAGCCTCATCAGGGTCTCTTTTAAGTCCTTAATGATGACATTTCTGTGAAAGTTAGGGTGTTTCTGGAGCCAGAAATGTTTGAAAACTGATTTTCTGGACCTTAGCAGGGGAAGGGTACTTGGCCAGTTGGGATAACTGGCCAGTGTAAACAGTCCTGCTTGCTCAGCTGTTATGCAAGTCTCACTGTGGCCTGCTGACTTACGAAGTTTCCCTGGCCCATAACCAAGATTCACTTTGCTTTCGCATTAATTCTGTGCATCTGTGATCGGATGTTTTTGTTTTTGATTGGTATTGTTATGTCTTCCAATTTTTAGGTAATGCTTGAAAATCTAGCAGTGAGAAGGGTCCCATGGCATCACAGAAATCAGATGTGAGGTCTATACCTTATTTGTAACTTTTCAAAGGTGTGAAGTGACCTCCTGGGGAGAAGCCAGCCTCTACAGAGATTTTCAGCTGAGTTTTATCCCAAAAATGCTAAAATAATCCATTGAAATCTACCATGAGATATTGAACATCAGCACAGTGCAGTCTAGCATGTTACAGTTGTATCTCATTTGCAAAGCCCCTGTCCTGGAAAAGTGCTTATGTTGCTCTCTCCCCTGGCAGCCTCCAGCAGCTGTGTTCCTGCTGGGACCTGGATTTATGTTCTGAAAATCTGAGTACCCCAAATTGAAGAGCAACCTCAAAGTCAACTCTTCTTCATTTGAAGTTAGGCCGGCTGGCTGGTTTCAGTTAGTGCTGATTTCTCAGATCAAGTTTCTGCTCATAATCTTTACATAAGTTGGGTAGCTCACAGTGAATCCCCCAAAGATTTCCAGGCCCATTTTTTTCTTTGTCTAGCTCTAGGCTTTTGCACAGGCTCCTGTGGCCTTAAAAGATTACATGAACAATTTGTGTGGTACTGCATACCAGATGAGGTGCTGCAGGGCTGTGAGGAAGGCAGTGGTGAGGCCTCTTGATTGAAGGTAAAATATTCTCCTGCATGCCTCAGAGGATAAGTGGAAATAAAACAGCATTGCAAAATTGCCTTGGTAATTGTGGCTTTTGCAGCTGCTGAGAGAGAATTGAGCAGCAGCATTTTCTAGGGGAAGGTAGCAATAGCCCGTGAGTGAGGTGTTCCGGAGTTCACTTTAGATCTTTTTAAATATCATAGATACTCTGTGTTTACTCATATTTCACCTAAACAATAGAATTATAGTAAACTGAAAATATAATAAAATAAAAGCCATAAAAAGGTAGAGAAAAAAATGCTTCATGACAAATTTGTTTCTGAGCTTCCTAGAAGCTAGGGAGAAGAAGGAATGACCATGATAAGCCCCTAGTTCTTAGGATCATCTTCTCTTGGGGATACTGGTTTGGAAGATGGGTAAGCATCGCTCTGAGACAACTCTCCAAGGGATGTTTATCCCCAAACCTGTAATAGCCCTAACTTTGCAGAGCTTCAGGATTGCTGGGGAAAAGCATAGTTGTTTCCCATCTCCTATGGGAAATGTATCCGTAGTGACGTCAAAGAAATAAGTGAGCATTTGCCTAAGCGTGCCTTGGAGGTCTGGACGAAAAACATGTGGCCACTGTGACATTATGATGTGACCAGATTTTCCATTGGTTTCAGGTTACAGGATGCGATTAGGGTCTAGCACCGACAAAAAGGATTCAGGCCGCCTTCATGTGGACTTTGCCCAGGCCAGAGATGACTTTTATGAGTGGGAATGCAAGCAGAGGATGCGTGCCCGGGAGGAGCGGCACCGGCGCAAGCTGGAGGAGGACCGGCTCCGGCCCCCGTCCCCGCCCGCCATAATGCACTACTCGGAGCACGAAGCCGCTCTGCTGGCCGAAAAGCTGAAAGGTATGGGCCACCTACGCTGGCTCTTTTCCCTCCGCAGGGATCCCCAGACATGCACTGAGCGTTTTTCCTGCCTCTTCACCATTGACCCTTCAGTACAATGTCTGCTATGCCTTCAAAAGGTTTTAAGAGGCTGGTGTAAGCGTAGACTCTTTACAGAGCTGGGTGGGGTTAGCTGGGAGTCCCCTGGAAGCTGCAGACACCTGGGCTCCATCTTCCTGCCTGGGACAGAGCCCTGCCCCTTTCCAGCATGCTCACCCGTGTCCTCCATGAAAGTGTATGTACAGTCACTCAACAGATCTCACTGAATGAGGGGACAGGAAGGCCCCCAAAGCAGGCTATTATCTTCTGACCCAATGTTGTGCCATTGGTGGGGCGGTCTAAGTGTTCTTCCAGCTCTATAAAGACTGTGCATGTTTACCAGACTCTTAAAGCCTTCTTAAGGCAAAACAGCAGACATGGTGCTAGGGTCCACGGAGGACAGAAAAGAAACATAGAATGGGATCCCGTTCTTCAGAGATGCCATTGAAGGGACACGTGCAGCTCTTACAGGATGATTACAAGAGAATATGTTTTATTTCCTCTAATGTTTTCGGAGGCCCTCCATGGTGTTTTATGCTGAGGGAAATAAAGACATAGGAAGGCTTTAGTACCTGCCCCTGCAAACTACAGTGATGCCAGGTTTTGAAGTTAGGATGACATGTGAATTCAGTTCTATTATGCACCAAAGTTGTGTGAGCTGAGCAACATATGGGCATTTTATAGGCAAATGATGGTCAGACCCTCCTCAGGTCATTGAGCACTGTCAGGATTTGATGAGAGAACATAAGTCAGAGTTGCTGGCCACATGTAGGTATCTACAGATAAACAATTAACTGTAATACCATGCCAGTGGCATGATTGTTAACCAAGTTATATGCAACATGCTTTGGGAACTCAGGGGCCAGTGCAAATAATGTTGACGGAAGGGTCAAGAAAGTCTTCATAGAGGAGGCATAATTTGAAATTTGCAGAATAAATAAAAATTTTCCCCCCATGAGAAAAAAAAGTCATAAGAGCATTCTAGTTAGAGGCTGGAGACTTGGGAATAAAAACCCACAGAAGCAGAGGGAATTCAGCGTAGAAGCTGCCTTTCTAGAGCGAGGTAAAGCTGGAATGGCAATCTGGGCCAGATGGCAGACCCCTGAAGGCTATTGCTGGTTTTGGGTTTTATTTCATAAGCAGTGGAGAAGCCATAACAGATTTCTGACGAGAGGGGAGATGTGATTGATCCTTCAAGTGTTTTAGAACATAGCTGGTGTATTGCTGCCAGTGTATAAAGTAGATTGGATGTTTTCACTTAAAAAATAATGTATGAAAAGCTGCCTAACACCTATTTTAGGAAGATAGGAAGTTGACATTCTATGCTAAAAAAAAAAAAAAAAAGGTGGGGCTAGGGGCGCTGTGCTTCCAATCTTCATCCCCCATCCAGGGCTTTGAGAATCCTTAATCAACTGCAGTTGCCACTGAAATGCCCACACCATAACCAAAGAATGCTTCCTGCTGATGCTCTTGTGGTGTGTTCTGCTGCTTTGAGAAGTCATGTCTTCCTGATGTAAATACATAGGCCGTGGCTGTCCCTTTAATAAAAAGCATATGCAGTGCTGATACAGACATCATTTCACTTTTCCATCCAGCCTGGAAACCATAGGAGTGGCCAAAATGAGACACATCAAGGTTCTCAACAAGGAATATTCACTGGAACAATAATTTTTCTCTAATATCCAATATATTGTGTGGTATCAGATTATGATCTATACAGACTAAACTGGATTCAGTTCGTCCACACCTAGAAGTGACAAACACTAGCACCTTGATCTATGACCTCATGAAGGAATTTCATTAAAGTGTATCATCTGGTTATGTTGTTTTTAAGAATCCAGTACAGAAGTGTCTCCACACGCATGAAGTACGTGGCATTTGCCTCTCCTTTTAGAGAATAACAGATTGGGATGTCAATTTGGTAAAGTAATTTGCAAGCCTTGCCATTTCAAAAATATATATTTATATAGATGAGTATAATTTGCGGAATTCAGAAGCTGTATCTTTGCCAAGTACTGTGTGATCCCTTGAGGAAAGAACAGATTGGAAATTTTAATGGATGGCTGTTACAGTAGAATGAACTAGCTGGGGATACATCTTAGGCAAGAGTCAGGTAATATGAAGCTTGACAATTTCAACCCAAGCATAGAGTTTGGAATATAAACAGCATTTAATTGCTTAGGAAATTGGCTGCCTGAGAGAGGAAATCCACTCCATGCTCCTTATAATGTTGCAAAGCCAGACAGGAGGAGCTGAGGACACTGTTTCCCTGAAGATGATTTCATTGATGTGGGACATAAAATATAGTCAAGACCTAAGGTAAAGAAATCTGTGTCAGAAAGGAAATGAAAATGCAATCTGAAAATACCTAATTGGATTTGATTTTTTTCTTCCCCTGAGAAATCTTACTATCTTGGATTTATTACAGATACTTTTCCTCTATTTTATATCATACTTGTTTATTCTTACAATTTTTCTCTTTGGAAATCAGCTTTATTCAGCAAAATCTGTAAAAATGAGGTCTTTGTTATGACCCGAAAGGCCCTCTCCATGTCCTGTGCAGTGCTGGAACTGTGCACATAGTAGGTGCTCAGTAAAATAATTCTTTTCTCTCTTCTTCTGCTATTTGGATCTATGAGTATGTTGAATTTCTGGCCAGTGGTTCTACTGGGCATGATGAGAAGTACATGGAAATGATGTGATGTATGCTCAGCCATCCTTCCAATCCCTCAAGAAGTATTCATTAATTAGCATTTTACCACATGCCTGGCACTGTCCAAGCCACTGGTGGAAAGGACAACAGTGAACAAGCCCCCGGCTCAAAGAATTTAGGTGTCTTCGGTGACAGAGGCAATAACGAATCACCTTACATTTGCCACTTATAACAGTGCACTATTAAAATAAATATAATAATCCCCTTGTTATATGTGGGAAGTGCAGAGTACTGCCACAGGGGAGATAGCCAGCCCAGATGGGCGGTGCCGGAGTGAGAGAGGGAGGATCTTCTGGACCAGGTTATCCCATTCACCGGCTACTTGACCATCTGAAACCAGAGGAAACGCTATGTTGTGTTTGTGTAGTGTCTGAGACATGGAGTCACCCAGTGCCTGTTAAATTAATACAAATTCTAAAAAAGAAAATTAGTAGGCACCTTGCTGGTTAAGTAGACATTGTTCTGAGACAATTCAACTTAATGAAGACCGACAGCAGTAACTGCTCACAAACCCAAAGTTTATAGCATGGCTTTGATAAAGTGAGAAAGAGCTCAATAACACCATAATTACACTTTATTGGAAACAGTGGCACCAGACAGATAAGATAATGAATTTCGGTGTGTCTAACACGGACCATCCACGCCGGGGGAGCCCTGTGTGTTGGACTGTGGAAGGAAGAGATTGATTAGACAGTGAGGAAGGATTATATTCTAATTCACTGGGATCTCTCTTGGCAAGAGCATTTAAAAGTTTTTGTGTACTTTTTACCCCCTTAGAAAGCTTCACATAATCTTTCATTTTGTGATGAATGAAGAGTTCCTCTCCAAATCAGGTGAAGTCCTGACAAAACCTTGCAAGCAGTGCCTTTGAGATTCCCTGGTGTGTCAACAAGAATACCGTCCTCCTGGGATCAGCATTCGTAATTTCCAAAGAACTGGACTCTGATTTGCATGTAGAATGGCCCATGTCAGTCTGCCAGAGGGAGGATGGGACAGATGTGATACCAGCATTTTGCTGAGATGGGTGTCAATATTTATGGTTCCACGAAAGTAAAAATCAAAAATGTTATGAGCCAAGTGGATGTCCCATTAGCTAGAAGCCAGGCTTCCTTCATAGGGTAAGGGAAATATGAAACATAGGAGCCCGTTTGCAAATAATTTCCTTACATGTTATTGACCTTCACAGAGGCAAGATAGGCTGTTTTATTAGAAACATTTTGCTTGACCCTCAAGCAGGAATAATCAGAGCATTTTCATATTGCCCTCTTAATTTTCCCATTTTTATAGCTACCAAATAGTTAAGAGATTGCATGTGTGTTTAGTAGCTAGAGGGGAACACTAACTATTTGTTTAACATTTTATGCTGTCTGTGATCTCGTCATTTGATGCAGGGTTAATTGAGCAGCCGGGAAAAAGAGACTTGTTTAGGGACATGTACAGAAATTTGGGAATTGTGATAGCAGCAATGTCGTGACCATACTGAAATTCCAAATTTGCTTAGACGACTATGTGACTATACACTATGAGCAATTTCCAGCTATCTTTGGAGCTAGAAATCAGTGATAACTATAGACACACCTTGTGTGTGTATGTGCATACACATCTGTGTGTCCCTCCATTACTTTGGAAACAAAAGTGTTTTAGACTGTCTTCCTTGTTTTCCCTTATTCTGTTCAGACATAAAATCCCTGTCTCCTCATTGTTCCTTTATAGATCCAGCTGTAAATAAGGATACTGCAGCCCACCTAAGTTTCATATTCAGTGCTTCTGGCTTGGCTCTTATCCCATCTATTGTTCTGAAATTCAGGGCTGCTTCTCCCTGTGCACACAAAGCAGGAGGAAAAAAACACTTAACCAATTTGAGTTCCTTTTCCCCATCATTATTTATATATCAGTTTAATTAAAATTCACCAGGTACCCACCGCTTTGTGCCATGTCCTGGACTTTCAAACGATACTGTGGCAGTGAAATCATAACTGTCTTACAAATATAAAATGAACATGTGCCAATGATTTTATTTAACTCACTAATTAATGAGGAGACCAATAAAATGTTAAAACTATTTCAAAGGAGAATTTGCTTTATAAAGATTTACATTTTCTACTGAATAAAAATTCATTTGTGTTGTTACAGAGAGGAATTATTTGTATTGTTATCAGTTTGCCACAATTTATGTTCCACTCCTACAGTTGTAAAATAGCCTAGTCAG